AATTCAGCCCAGCTGCCCTGAAGCCTGGTCTCGCTAAGTGCGAACGACAAGATGAAGTGGGACAGCGCACACCACGAATCCATCTCTGGGTGGGGGTCCCCGGGATAATGACGCAGAGTTTTTGACTTGGGGTTTAAGCTTTTTGTGTTCACGGTCCAGGTTCAGGTCTGTGCTTCGTTAAGTTGAGCGGTTCTCGTGAAGGGGACTGTAGGACGGAGCGAAGTCCATCTTGCTTCGACTGCACATGAGAGGAGGATGCTTCTTCAAGACGTAGGGTAACAACTGCCTGCCGATGTCGTGGCTTCTCCTGCGTTTCATGACCCCAGCATAAGCGTGGTGTTGTCTATTACTTTTTGGCGTTATAGGCGCGAAGCATTTTGAGGCTCCAACACATCCCTGGTGAGCGCTTGAACATCGGGCTCAAGTTTCAAGCATGATCAAAGTGTGCTGGGAGTTGGCAGTGTTGTCGCTGTGAATACCTCTTCTGTGTGAGGATGCGACCTGGTCCGACGAGAGTCGTCGTGTGAAAGAGGTTGACGGACTGGATTTTGCACGACTTTGAGTAAGTTACGATCTAGGGTCATGCAAGGCTTGGTCCAATAACAGTGCAATTACTCTGGGACGTCGTCATGCAACACAGACATGCACAGGCCCTGTGCGCGTAATTTTTCTCTAGATGAGGCCCCTTCTTTCCCTGAAGCAGATCATCCCAGTTCGCCATTAGATCTGGAACCCCAAGGCTACATCCGGACTGCTAAGCCTTAAAAGAAAACCATAAGTTTTTGGGAGAAACAATATTACAACCCAATGGCTGCACCATGAACAGCAGCCAGATCCGGAAACAGTACATCCCAGAGTCTGCACCCCAAACCCCCACCCAGCTCCAATCCCCAGGGCCTAACCCGATCCATATACCCAAAAAGGCACCCGATTCCCGCGCTGCCAGTCGCGGCAGAGGCCTTCGCAATTCTTTAGGCGCTTAAGGTTTGACTGCGGGGATTCAGGCTTCAGTGTGTGATAGCTCACGAACTGAATCCCTCGGTTGAGTTGATTTGACGTCCCTCATTTGTGTTGTCTGTCAATTGTGAAGAGTCGAAGTATAAGGGTCGTTTGGCATTGTCTTAGGGTCGCTCCAAGCGCCACGGCCATGGCAAATATAGCAGTATGCAAGCAATTCCATGGCGACCGCATACCCTGACCTCAGTATATAAAGACCCAGAGACGGGACGCCCCATTTATTTACGAAAGGTCTCATCTCGAGACTCTGACTATCAGTGCCGCTTTTCTTATCATGGCTCGTGTCCGGCACCTATATTAACAAGAGCCCAGACCCTAAGCCCTCAACAGAGTAGATTCAGGCCACGTGCAAACAACATGAATGTCTAAATGAAGCTGACTTGCGGGATGCAAAAGGATTTACACAACTTCGGGTGTCTAAGTGTGTAGTGTAGATGGTCTGAATGCTGTACAACATAGTGCTAGGCGCCGTGGCAACGGGAAAGCAACCAAAGGACCCCGAATGCAGAGAAGAGCCGAATTATGTGACTACGTAGTATGAATGTTCCTCATGCGCGATACAAAATTAGGCTGTAGTTCGCGCCGGGTTAAATGATGGATGGTGGCAAGCTTGCGTAGATGCATATTTGCCACCGTTGCTACTGCTAGGGTCCTTGGAAGGACCTGCTGCAAGCGAAGCAGTTTGTGTTGGACGGAAGGCATGCCCTGCAACCCTAAACTGCCCCAATCCGTCAACCTTCAATGCTGACGCAGTGCATCTCCCGTAGAGGTTTGATTGTAATTTTGGGGCAAGCTGCATCCGACAGACTTGCTGGGCCAGTTGCTTTTGCCAGGAGCCCCGTGGCGAATGCTCCATGATGTGATCGCATTGGAGCAACGCCACACATAAAGCGCCTTTACAGTTGAAAGGTTGTAGCGAGGCTATTCAGAGACCCTCAGAGAATCTGTTTAGCTTTCATACATATATCAAAGTCTCGATGGCGCCGCCGAACATGCCGAGCTGCGCGCTAATCGGGTTCTACGGGGAGGGACTGTTGCTCTAGTGCCTGGTTCTGGGCTCAAGTCAAGCCCGTGTTCTATCAGCTTGAGATGTGTGAACCTGGGAAAGCTGCACAAGAAACCTTGTAGGCCCTGACTTTAGTAGCCAGCGCATGTCAAACCCCGAATTTATCATTCACCCACAGGTGACGTAAAAATAGACGTTGAGGAGCTTGAATTGAAGTGAGTGGGGGTAGAACCCTAAATTATGGCCTGAGGGTTTAAGGTTCAGGGGCCTTAGGGTAAATACGGGTTGGGGAACACATTGCGGGGGCCATTGCTTGATGCGATATGCTCCCACTTAGCTTTAGCTTCCCAAGTTGAAAGAAACAGCTGTAGAGCTCCATGACTCGAGGAGCAGTAGGGCCGAGACGCTGAAGAAGATGATAGAGGGGCTTAGGTCTTAGGTGTTACTTACTCATAGGAAGCAGCAAGCCAAGCCCTATTCAACTGTAAAAGGCCAGCTGCACCGCTTGAATCTCGCGGCTCAGGAAAGGAGTCAGAAGACATGCCTCATGTGATATTTCTTGAAATCTATCCCAAAAAGCCGATTGAGGAAAAGTTTAGGCTCCTCACAAATCGATGCCATCGTCAGCTCAGAGAAATTGAGGCGATTTAAAACGACTCCTTACTGAGCCCCTCAGACCTTCATGTGTATGTGCCAAAGATCTTTCCTTCCGCCTAAAATATAGATTCTCAACGCATGCAAGTCCCTTTAGGGGGACACATCAGGAGCTTGAGCAATAATCACCCGAAACAGCTCTATTCTTCGTAACAGGGCTTCGAAGAGGGAGCATTATTTGGCATGCACACAAATGTACACGCGACACACCTGTGATCGCTTTGTGCCAAAGCCTGGTCAGCTTTCAAAACCTGCGGTTCAGGGTGTCGTTTCAAACTTGAAAACCTCTGAAAACACGTGTAGAGAGTATGCAGGACGGAGTAGAGTAGAACTACCGTTGCAGGACTCCTCAGAGTCATTTTTTGTTCTAGCTCGTGTTCGGATGAGTTTGCTCTACAGTGGGAATTTTGGTATGCCGCTAAACCCTAAATGTCACCGATTTTCACGTCTTGCCTGAAGACCTGTCCTGAACCCTTTTTGAAAGTGACCCACATCGCAGATGGGAACCGGATTGAGCTTTTACTGCCAATCCTGATCAAGGCCTATAAGCTCTGGATGATCATTGCCATGATGAGGTAGGCAGACCTGCAACACGTTCCAACATGCCACAAGCTTTTGTGGAGCCATCATTCGGTTCCTCGGAACCCATCCTTTCAAGCAGCAGGGCATCTCGTGAGTCACTGACGTTTGAGGTGCCCGTGCAACTTCGATTCACTCCAGTTTTCCCTAGCTGTCAGCTTGACGATCGCACAACAGGACTGTGAATGCCTACTGGTTCTGAAGCCCTCCTTCCCTATTGCCCCATAATGACAAGCGCGCATGCTGCCTAGGTCAGGTCAGGCAACTTTTCCAGGTACACATGTAGGGATTTCCGGGCAAGGGCCGGTACAAGAACTTATTTGAGAAACTCCCACCCTGCAGGAGGCTTGAGAACCAGTAGGTTAAGTGCCACTGGACCTGCTACAGAGCTCTCGCAAAGATTCTTGAGACTCTGCAAGTTCCCCAGCCAAGCGCCCTGTCGCAAAAAGGGGCTGAGGGATCCGGTGAGGGTATGGGAACAGCAGCTATTGCAGTTGATGGTGCATCGGATGAGAAGGTCAACAGCGCTGATAACTATATGTCGAAGCACCCGGGATTCGGCGTAGTACCCGAACCAATAATCAATGTCCACCATGAATGGGAGAGCAGATACGAGAAGATCATTATAAGGCCTTACTGAGGGGTTGCTGCGTTACTCACTTCGAGGCAAAAGCCCTAAACATTGAAATGCAAAATACCATCGTGCTCTGGGTGATCCGCCTCCAAGTAGTAGGAATCCAGCTCGTGATCCATGATCCCCCCCGCCCCAACTTGAAGCCTTTTCATTTCAGCCCGTCTTAAAGTAAAACGGTTGATGGTGCGGGTTTGTCGCCACAAACTGGCCTCCGTCTTGATCTACGGACTATTCGATGATTGTTGGCTTGGGCTTATACGATAGACAACACAGATTGTGTAGTGCCAGGGTCTGCCGACAGTTCGCAACTTTGTGTCACAGAAGGTTGGACCACTGTTTTGAACGATGCCCCATGCCCACATTCCAGAACATCCGCAAGGTTGCGCCTCAAGGGACAACGTTCCTAACATGATGCAGTCAAGCCACCATGGCGGATATCAACGAGATGACGACTTTTCCGATGTGGGTGGTGAAGCTGTCGGACGTTTTGTCCATCACTGGCGCGCCACCTCGTCATGAGGAGCTGATGTCTGCAGGGCTCTTAGTAAAGCATCAGCCCACCTTCTGCACCTTGATTGCGTTTTGGCTCGATTTCCTCCACTGGTCTTAGTCGTACACCAAGGAACTGACCTACCCGCTTGCTTCATGCTGGCTTCTGCTTGGGGATAGCTTTCCAGGCTCAGTCAGTACAGCCACATAGAGGATGCCTTGCTCATGCAACGTCTTCAGGGAGATGGGTCCAGAATGAGAGATATGATAACGGCATGCATTGGGGCCAAGTTCAGGTTTTGGGGACGAGGACTCGGGACTGACTGAGGGCTCCCCTCAAAGGAGGACTATTAAACTATTGATGGGCGGGTTGCTGTGTGATCCTACAGGTCCTACAGATTAAACTGGGCACTACAATTCTGGCAGGTTCAGGTGTACGAGCCTAGTACTTGTGCATGTTCATGCACAAGTACAGTCTAGCTACAACCAACACCTGCAAGGTGCCGAAAATCTGGCATCGGATCCTTCATTCAAAAAGTAGCACCACGGTTCCTGAAATTAAGATCCGAAGAACTGAGCGCGAAGCAGTGTTCAAAGCTCTCAATGCCGGCCATTGCCCAGGCACGGTCTTCGTATCCCATCAGTGGCTCGGAATAGATCATCCGGACCGGCTTGGGTTTCAGTTCCAGCCACCTCGTCGCACACAGAAAAAGCTTGACAAGGAGAGCAATAAATCTAGTCTCGCTAAGAGTAGTTTCTGCCCATGCCTGCAATGGAGATGTCTTCCTTGCCGCTGTTGTTAGTAGTACGAGTAGGAGTAGTCGATGCGAATATGGTCGTTCCTGCCGTCGTGTTGTCATGTTGCAGTAAGCAGGCTTGCGGCGGATGGCTTCGCTTTCTTTTCACCAGCTTAAGCGCTAGCTCCTGCCCAGAGCCCTTAGAGCCTGAAACCGCCACCTTTTCCCCTGGAATCCAAACTGTCAGAGCCAGACCTGAAAGCACAAAGCAAGGAAGTTTCAGCAAGCGGTTCGTGGCCTGTTGGAAGGCAAGCTCTTGCTATCTTCAGACTTGGCCAGCTGCTGATGTTTTTTTTGAACAAGCTTTTCATTTTTCATTCGCTGAAAGCCCGAGAAGCCTTCCCAAAAGCTTTCCAATTTACAGTGACTTGCAGTAGGCCGAATTCTGTTCTACGTTGACTATTATGAGCTCTGAGCCCGGTGAACCTTAAAGCTGCGTTCAGCTTCGTTTGTGGAACCTCCTCGGGCCTAAGCCTCAAACACCGAGTCCTAAACCTTCAATACCAAACGCCGGTCAAGGCTATTTCATCGGCACGAGGCGGAGCGGACTGAGCCGGCGAGTCTCTCGACTGCACATTGATCAGTTGGTGGGGCATACAGGATGATGATGACCATGATGGTGCCGATGGTGGTGATGGTGGTGGTTGTGGTGATGGTGATGGTGATCGTGAGGTGTGACTTTGCACGGGACAGCGTTATCCATCCTTTTTGCAAGTGAGGCTTTGCTCAGTACAGATCTCAGATTCACACAGCGATTGCCACACATATGCTCCAAAACATTCTGACTCGGGAGAGTGCAGCGCGGAAGTTCAGGCATGCAGGATGTATATCCTAAGTTTTGGGGGCGGCTACAGGGCTTGCAGGGGTTTGTTTTGAAGCAACTCAGAATCACCATCTGCTGAGCCATGCGTAGTCCTTGACGGAACATGGAATCATTATTCGGGATCACTATGTGGTTCCAGGGCGTTTCCATCAGTCCTGGCCGCCTGGTGGTGTAGTTTGTTCTTATGTGGCTCCAAGGCTTTGAGTAATAAAGTCAGAAGGAAGAATATGAACAATGGCAGGAACAGCAATAACTTTCTCACAGAAAGAGAAGTGGACATGATTCCATTCATTCGCATGTTTGCCATTTGGATTTGCATGCACTTCCTGCCATTAAATATTGAGAGGACCTGGTATGCTGGTACATACTTGGGTCCTCGTCTGGAGATCAGAATCACAGAAGAACAAGGAAACTGTTAGTGAAATGTTGAGTACCCACTTCCCAGATGCTAGGAGCTTGCCCGACTTCAAAACGCTTACATTTGGCTGGACTGGTTTTCAATTCCCCAGAGCTGGGGCGCCACTTGGTCCCTGGGCAGATTAAGGGTTTTAAGGGTTTTGGTGCAGTTGAGGGTTTCGGACAGTGTTGGTTTTTAGCGTAGCTGAGGTTTGAGAGCTCAGAGGTTCATGGCACGACTAGAGAGGTAGCAACCTACTGCAAAACTGTTTGCTACGTGGTTGCTACAGGCCAATAGCGGCATGATCGGAGACCTACATCAATCTGAATAAGTGGGATTTGGCGTTGAAGCTTGGGCAGCTTCTCCAAAGAACCCGAAGCCCCTTGGGGCAAACACCGGCATTTCCTGGCTGCCACGAATCCCTTTCCATTGCTTTCCCCTGATTGCATCCTCAAAATTCTAAATAGATTTGTTTGTGAGTCTTTATGCCATAGGCAATCTTTGGTATTAGGAGTGGGGACAAGGAATTGCTACCAATGGCTGCCTCATTCCCGATGGCAGAACATGTTTGGACTGTCCTGCCTGCATGGCAGTTGCCAGTCCTAGGTGGAAAAGGGTGCTGCTAGTGAAGCGGGGATTGTGTAGACGTCATCTAGACTAAGCCGGATAAGTCATGAGCGGCCCGAGTCGGGGGTTGCTGGTTTCTGCTATCCCGGGCTGCCTCCTCATCCTAACCCCTCGCCCAAATCCTAAACCCAAGAGCAACCCAGGTCGACATACGCATGCCAGCAGCTTGGTCGCTGCTCATTTCTGCTTTCTCTTGTTCGATTTAGAGGGGCTTTTAAATGGTCTGTGTGGATTGCATGTTTTTTTAAATGCATTGATATGTCATGCGGATGATCTGATTGCAGCTCGCATGCCATTCAAGCCCTAGCTCTGGGCCCCAACAATTGAGCCTACATTCTTGGACCAGAAGGGTTTAAGGCTCAGTTTGGGCCTCCGCTTGCCAAGAAAAATAGGTTGAAAGAGCTCTGGAAAGATGCGACAGACATGAGTCCTTGGGAACACCCCCGAAAAACGAAGCCCAAAAACTTAATGCCCTCACCTCTAGATCGCAACCGTCAAGCTAAGAGCTTTAGATCCTTGCAGATTGTACATGATTCAAGGGAGCTCTGTATGAAGCATGCTGACCAGGAGAACGTCAAGCGTGACCATAGGGTTCCGTATGGGGTCTCCAAGTTTTTCCAGGAAGGTCCCAAGGGCAAGCTCAAACCCCAGAAGCCGTAACCACCCTAAAGCCCAATTTCTGGGAAGGCTGGAAAACACTCAGCCAAGAATCAAGCCAAGGAAGCTGCAAGAAGCTATTCGTTCCATTCCCGCTTTTGTGAATGCCTCGGAGCCTGGCTCTTTAGAAGGGGCTTCCAGCAGTCTCCGAAATCCAGGGTTGCGGTTCAGCACTGGGCGTACAGCTTGGGCTTGAGGTCCGTAACAATCAGGCAGTTGCGCCTATCAAATGTACTGGGCTGTCACTTCTGGGCAGTGCTTGAAACACCAGACGATACCAAAGCCCGTCTTGGGGTACATACCGCACGCAACCTTTGGGGCTCTCAGCTTCTTGGCGTTCTGAGCATGATGTCAAGAACCCTCCTCAAGCAAGGGGTGGATGTTTCCGTTTGGTCCTGTGACACATGTCCACACTGTGGGAAGCTGACCAGGGTTGTTTGAGGACTCTGCAATATCTCTTCCGGAAGGTATTCGCATTGAGTGCATCCAGCTGCACTGAAGCTTTCAAGCCAAGGCTCCGAACATCGCAACAAAGATGTCTTCGTAGACCTTCAGCTGAGAATGCAAGCCCTTTACTCCGTAAACTTCCTCCCAAATCCTGGATATGAACCATAGCCCCAAGATGAAAAACCCAACCCGAAGCACCAAGGACTTCTTCATCACACTTGCACCAAGGGCGAGGCAAAAGGGCTCAGAAGGGTGGCGTTGGGGCCTGAGTAGAAAACACCCACCACACAATACTCATGTCCCTTAGTGACTTAGTCATGATCACTGGCGGTCAAACTAGATTAGCCAGCGTGTCGAAAGCTGTCTACCCAGGATGCGCAGTTGATGCGAAGCCTTGGCCAGAATATTCAATATGACTTGTATGGGCAAGCCCTAAACCCGGAACCCTAAACCCACCCCACCAACAGGCACCAGGATACCGGCCAAGAGGTGAACTTCACAACATGGCTCAGCCGCGGTTGGTGCAGAGCCTTGATCTTTTCAGAAACGTTGTGTGGGTGATCAAAGTTGTGTGTGATTTCTTCTTGGTGTCTCCATACTGCAGTATTGTGGGAGTGAATAAAGGAACCTTAATTCTGGAATGCTCATGCGATAAGCTGCACCCTGTTTTATGCTTGTGAAGTCCCTATCTCATTTTCCCTTATAGTTCTTGTAAGTATGAGCCAGATGTCTCGGTAGGGTTCCGCATTTGAGCGTCATATGGAGTATATGACGCGATAAGAACACCCAATCAGGCAACATGAGCATACAGGATGATCCCTCGGTTTCGCGGGTAGGTTGGGCACTGCTCCCATGCAGCAGTCTCAGTGGCAGTCTATTACAGGCGTAAGATTGAGGGCTCTATACGTACTGTTAGTGAGGGGAGCAGTACCAAAGGTGTAGGGTGGAGGCTGGAGTATGCAGGAGCTGAGATGTGGTGTCGGCTGCTGTCAAACCGACTGAGCGAGCGATCTGTGCCCATCATCATCATTCTCAACAGTGACCATGCAGTTTTTGACGCTTGTCTGCACAATGCACAGCTTTCAAGACCTAGTGTGAATGTTGTGCGCAGACTGATATGGAGATGTCTCATGTTCTTTTTTTCGGATATGAAAGCACTGAGTATTAGAATAAATCTGACCGTGTTCGAAATAGGCAACGCCCCGAAATAGGCACCGCCCTGGGCATTTGCGCGGAACAAATGTTTTGGATCAGCTATAAAACGTAACCATCTCATTTTGCTACAGCTGTTATGGAACATTTCGTGCAATGTTCAGCCCAATTTCGTGACAGGGCTCGTGTTCGTGAACGCGTGTTCGGTTTGTAGATGTATTGGTGGGCATGTGCAAAATCACCAGCCAGCAGAGTTCATGCGAGGCAGAGAACTGCATGCATACGCGCATGGAAACAGGATGGCTCGCTTTTTGGATATTACGTGTTTTTTCCAATATCAGCTAAGTAGATGTTAGGGCTTAGCAGCACAGTGCGGCATGCCTCTCTGCACGGAACCCCTGAGCCAAAGCTTGTTTTTGTGGTTCGGGCATGCTGGTGACCAAATGCTCAGAACCACGCAGTGAGTCAATCCAATAAATCACAGGCCAACGCCCAGGGCGGAGCCTAGAAATAGTATTGACCAAGCAAACATGCATGCTGACTGTGAATAATCCACTTGCAAGGCGTCTCCCGCTATTTGCGTGAACTATCCTGCGCATGCTGGTGTCTTTGGCAGGGTCTCCGACCAGAAGGAGGCCGAGGGGTCTAAAATCTTCGATGACCCGTGATGTACTGTACAACCTTACAACCCTGTTCTTCACTTGTAATTAATTATGATGTGGCTGTAGAAGGTAACCCTATCCTAACTGTAAAGAATTTGGGCCCTACAGTTCGCCCCCAGGTCATCGAGTTTATCAGAAAAGCGCTGGATGGAAGGATCGCAGTCCTTGCGCAGGAGCCAAAGCGTGCGAATCTCCTACGCTATTACAAGGCCGATTGATCAAGAGAGTCTTCCTCAATGTAGGAGTATTGCGGTGCCTGGAGGGTGCAACAGGCACATATAGGGTCTAGGGATTAGGGTAGAGAATCAACCGGACAATCAAACGGAAAACGACATGAAACCTAGGATGATAGATAGGGTTTCTAACGAATATGAGGGTTACATGAGCATTTCTTCCGCCAAGAACAAATTGATCTTAGCTTAAGGAGCCATTATATGTATATGTGTGCACAGTTATATCTCTATTGAGAGGAGGATTTGATGTCCGGCAGTTGGTGGTGTTCAACATTAAGGGAAAAGTTTGCTAATTCAGGAGTACCTTATCCCTGTGTACCAAAAAGCAGCACATGTACCAGGGCCGCTATAAGGATGTATTGGTGCAAGATCAGCTTGGCAGAACCTGGTTCACTTGCTGCGAATTATACCCGGCCGTTTTCCCGAGTCTGCTGCAAAAAGCGCGATCCCGTTAAGCTGTTAGCACAATCTTTTCTGTAGTTTGTCTGGGCCATGGAATTTCTTTTCACTGCCCACGTGCAATCTTGATAATCTCTCTCGGCCCGGAATCTACGACTGGCATTTTGGGGCAATGCTCGCCGGTGCCCTTTTTTCTGCTGGGAGTGTTGTTCGACCGGCTACTGGTTCTACTAACGGTTCTATGGTTGGTACCGTAATTTGCCTTCGTTAAGGCAGCGCTATCATTCGCATCCGCCCGGCTGCCATGATCAGCATAATCATGAACAGCAGCAACAGCAGCATCATAGTCTGCGTCATGACCACAGTCAACGTCACAGCCACCGCCGTCCCCCACCCGCCGCCGCCGCGAGCATCATCATCATCATCACCACCACCATCATCACCATCGAACCATCATCATGCGCCTCTTCATTGTTATCAACATAAAGTCATGGCAGCTTCTGCAATTGATTATTCTTGCAATCAGTATTTCTCTCGTTACTGTCGCAGCATTTACGAACTCATAACTAGTATGATGATGTATGATGGCAAGAACAAATTGCTTTCTGGCTACCCCTGCTGGTTACAAGCCCCCTTTCACTCAGACACGCCACTATCATGCACCGTGTTTTGTTATACCAGATCTGCGGCACGTATGCAATCCACGACTGTCTCGACGTCTTTTGCTATTGGGCTTGACACGCTGCCCAAAACTTGCGCATATAGCGCTACAAACAGCTGAAAGCATTGCGACTTGGTTAGGCATCTGAGCAGGCAACTGTATGCATGGGCGGTGTTACACGCATGCACTTGGGACATGAACGCCATTCTGCTTTGGGTATGGCTGCTGTTGCAACCGCATGCACTTGGAACATGGACACTATCTTGGTTTGCCAAGGTAACCGCATGCACTGGAGAGCAGGAATTCATATTGTTTCGGCATTGATACTCTGGTACCCACATACACTTGGAACGTGGTGTGAGCATGGTTGCTGTGCAAACCGCATGCACTTGGAGCATGAGCGTTGTCATGGCTTCGGCATGGATGTTGTGCCAATTGCATACGCTTGGAACATGGCGTCATCATTGGTCATGGAGGCGCTAGTAAATGCGTTCGAACACGGACGTTGTCAGTCGCATGAATTTGGAAAAGTTGATGTTAACATGTTTTGGGAACAGGAAAGCAATGGACTGATGCTAAAACTAGAAGTCCAATCTCAGCCCGGTATGGCCGCGCGTGGTCCCATTCGGATCTAGTCGTCGTTGTCGTTGTCATCGTCGTCGTCGTAGCAGCAGGAGCTACCGCCACTGCGCAGTTCCTTCTTACTGCTACTAACTGCAAATGCTTCCGGCTGTTTCCTAGGTTGCCACACGCAACACCAAAGCCCAACTCCCACTGAACCCTAATAAGCCTGACAAGCTTAGGCCAGATATCATGATATCGTTGGGCTGCCCCGCATCCAGAGGGATCCAGGCACGTTCTTCTCCTACTTCGCCTTCGGGTCGCAGGATCCTTGACAGTGGCCGTCGGGCTTTCATCTTGGCTTAGGGTTTAGCCATTTGTAGGGTACGCTTGGGATGCCCGAGTTACAGCTCATGTTTTTAAGCTTCCACGCCCTGAGGATGCGGCCATCAAGCACAAGGGTTTCGGAGCCATGGCCTGTGCCACGCTGTCAGAAGACATGCAAATGATGCAATGGCTTCATCGCTGCGGTGCCTGGGCCGGTTATCATTCTCGCACTCTGCGCATGAGCATGGTGTGAGGGTTAGAAGTACGTAGAACTGCAGGCTGTTGAGCCACTATACTGATGTTTGGGGTTGTACGATGCGTAGGTATATGTATGTGCATATATATATATACACGTGCATATACCCGACTGCGGCTGCATGATTACGGGTCACAAGCAAGTCCATCGGTCAAAAGGCACTGGCTGACTTAGCTGCAAATCCGGCATTCAAGTTAAGAAAATTGCTAGGTAAGGACATTAAGTGCGATTCAAATCCAGTAGCCCTCTGGAGAATACCCGGTTCTCTCCGCAGACGCTAAGATGCGCAATGGCAAGGTAATGTCAGATCCATCCCTTACCACGTATCCTTAAACATACACAGAGAGGTCTTGAGGATTCCCTTAATTGGGTTCCACTGGCATCATAGTAAGACTACATCCCAAGTTTTGCCAAACCCGGATCCCTTGAAGCAGATACTCCAAAAACACCCTGAACTTTGACAGCATGTGGTCGATATGTATATATACACACACTAATTTAATAGGAAGAGTTTATAAAGACGCGGAGTATGGCATGTGGGGTGAATATAGTGAACAGTTAAAGAGACCGCCCACCAGATCCACCACAAAGCCTGTAATCCTACACTTGTACAGGTGCGTCCTTGAATGACCCTGTGCCCGGGATGGTAGATGCGGACATTTTTCCTCGATGGCTTCCTTTACATCTGGCCATACAGATGCGTGGCTTTGGGCTTTTGGTTTTGGTTTGGGTAGACCTTTGAGACAAGTGCGTTTCGATTTTGCTACAGCGGATGTGCCTGAAGCTTGTGAAAGCTGCAACTGTGGTTCCCGTGCTGTTTGAATTTAAAAGCTCGGAAGCAATTGGCCCTAAAAAGTAATACCCCCGAACGACTCAGGATATCGCCGCGCAACATGGCGCCTTTGAAGCTGCCAGGCTAGTGAGAAGTAGACGTTGCCACCTTTCCCTTTTCTTGTGGGGTTTAGGGCAAACTTTGTCTTGTCGGGTACGCCTGATGAAGACCTGTGCCATTAGCTTCGAAAAATCAGTTGTGTGCGCACGGTGTCCTTTGACGAGCAGCTATCCACTCCAAGACCGAAACACCGATATGTCAAGCTTGCCTCACCCCCGCACTTTCAAAGCCTCTACCCCACTCTAGACATCCTAAACTCTGCATCCCAAGTCCTAAAGCTTCACGTGGCTACGCCAAAGCCTAGGCTCCTGCTGCACTTGAGAGCCAACCCCAACTTCACCGACGCCTTCGGGGTCTCGCCTCTGCATTTTTGAATAGAAGACGACTTAGCCTTCCAATTAAGGTCTAGGGTTTCGCGCTGAGTGCTTACATTCGCGAATGTTCATACTATCCTCAGCTTGAAAATCCATGGCAGGTCTCGCCGTTGCACATATGCCCCACGGCCAAAGCCGTCGCCGCACTGGTCAGGCACAGGTTCATGGTTCAGGGTTGAGGGCGGTTAAGCGTTCAGAAAATACGGACCCGTCAGGCACAGGGCGGATGTCAATCTTGCCAGACCCCCAGCTCGTCTCACAGCTCTGGAGGGGAGCTGCCAAAGAGGGAACCCTGTGGAGGCCCTTCAAGCTCTGAGCCTTGACTTTGAGTGAAGCCTTGTGTCTTTGGAAATGGTCAACTAACAAGAATGCAAAGTGATCATGGAGTCTTAATTAGCCCTACACCCCTAAAGCCTGAGACCGTTAGCCCCTAACCCTAGACATCAAGCCATTGGCAAAGGATCGACAGCAGGGCAGATGTGGGCCCAGATGGCTTAGCATATCTGGCGGAGCATGCACCGATGCGGTCTGACACAGCCGCCGGGAACTGCTGGGTGTACGGTTTGGCTTTCGGGCCTGAGGTTTATCAGGTTTGCAGGGTCCATCTCCTGTTTATATAGGATTCAGGGTTTAGGTTTGGGGCTGGGGGTTGTAAGGGCGAGATGAGCCTGAAATCGTTCAAATCCCGACGGGCGAATATTGTGGTGTGGGTTTTTGCTTATGGCAGTTGACCGCCTGTACATAAGAGTTGGGTCTGATTTGCTAGTTGTCTTTGATTTTCATGCCTACAAAACACCCATGCAAGGCTGTGTTTGGTTGGATTCTGACGGTACCCAAGGTCGAGGCTGCCAGTCTTCTCCTAAATGCCCGCGCGGACGTGACCGGATGGCTTGTTCACTCGTTTTGGTTGCTATGAACCCTTAAGCTCAGGGAGGTTTCAACGGTCTTGACCATAAAGTGGTAACAAGCCTGCGCAAAGTCTCGATGAAAGCGCTGAATCTGAAAAAAAGCAGTCACATCCGCTAAACCACCAACCCGACACCAAAAACACACCAGCAAATCCTAAACTGCAAGCCCTCAACCCATGAATGAAGTCGAAAGTCCTAGACCGTCCCCAAACCACCAGAAGACCCAGGCGAACGCAAAGCTTGACCGCAGTGCTTTCTTTCGAGCTGCAGAGATGGCATGCAGGCTGAAGTCCAGGCTATCTACAGATGCTGGGGCTTCTTTGGGCAGTTGTTGTTGCTTGCACTTTCCTTCTTGGCTTGGTGCTGCAATTGTGATCTTCTCTTCTGCATCTAGAGAGCTTAGCTGTTGATGCTACTGTTACTTGTGGCTTCACCGAGCAGATCGAAAGTCCTTTGACATGCCCTGCAAGCAGACACCGAGGATACGCCTGTGATGGTGCGCTACATGGCGGAATGTAGCAGCTCCGCCTTAGGACGGGCTCTAGCTTCTTAATCTTCATCCCTCAGCCCATACCCCTGGAACGGAAGAAGGTCCCCTTAACACCACAACAAAACCGCGCCCCTAAATCCTCGAAAGAAGCTTACTTTGCAACTGCTAGGTCAATCACACCCTGCCACCTCTTCCCTTCATCATTTAGTCAATGCCCATCGGATCTTGGCGATCGCAATCAACAGTTCTTATGCTGACCTGGCCAGTGCAAGCTTCCCTCCCTCAACAATGGTAAATGCGGAGCTCGCTTCCCCTGAGGACATGCCATTTTTCATGGGAGCGAGCACCTCGTATCCTTCTTGCTGGCTGCCGGAAGCTCAGTCATCCTCGGGCCAATACACACGGCTTGTGAAGGAAAGCAAGAGCAAGGCCCTACACAGTTTGGGGGTTTGGCCGCCGCCCGCAATGAGGCCTTATGTATGGAAGCTCCTTTGGAATTGAGGCGGTCACTCCATGGATGCGGGCTAATTAGGGGTTTCGAAGCTTGATGGCTTCGTTCCTGTCAGGGGCTTCTTTGGCAACCAGGGGGCTGCACGTGTTGTAGTTCGGTTGCGAAGGGTTCTGTTTTAGCATGCTTTCGGGAGGTCGTGTTGGGTGCGAGGGTTATGAGCGAACAGTACTAAGGTGGATCTCATCAGACAAGGCCTAGGTCACGGCAGCATGCATTCCCCACTCCCCCAAAATGTGCTAGGCAGGCGCTAGCCTCATCATAAGGAGGTGCCAGGCTGGACTTTGAGAATTCACCACTTCTTGATACAGCTTGCAGGCACTGCTGCGCATCTGGGATCTCAAAAATCAAAAGTCAAACCTAAACCCTCATAGCGTCCAAGGACCGTGGATGGTTGGTTTCCTTTCATCTGGTTCTCAATCAGGGATACAAAGTGTGTCTAGAGGGGCTTTGTAGCGGCAGGGCTTCGAAGACAAGATCCAATTTTTACAGTCAGTGGGGGCGCCTCATGTTGAGATCATCCCCACCAGGGAGTTTGTCAAACAGAGGCAGAAGTTTTCATGGTGTTTAGAGTGCAACTTGTTTGGCCCTCGTTTTCTTGCACGCCCACCATTAACTAGATTCTTCTAAGAATTTCATGTCCATCTGTCACTGTTACACCATGAAGTTCCACAAGCCCGTAAGCTTTAGTGCCCTTAGCTGTTGATCCAAAGGCACGAGGGGATCCGGAGCTGCCGAACAACCGGGGCCATACGCCTTTGCAGCTCACAAGACACCACGGTACTGGGCCTTTTCAAGGTTCATGAGTGCGGAGTTGAGGGCTTGCGGGATTATGAGGTTTGGTTGTGTAGTTTCGGGGTCTAGGGTCAAGAAGGATCCTGCAGCTACAAGATAGACATGGCATGTTTCAAGCTGGGAGTCCCACTTTAGCCCTTGATTACTGGCGAGTTCTTTAAAACCAGCGCCACAGGAGACCCAATAAGTTCACCCACCCCCAGATGCTAAAAGGCTTTGCCCGTTCAGGAAGTGTATTCCTGAGGTTTGTAGTATGCAAGCAAGTCTGATTCCTGATTGGAGTTTGGATTGATGGTTATGCGTCAGAGGTTTCTCGTCTCAGGGTGGTTTCAGAGCTTTCTGCTTTTGGGCTTTTAGTTTCTGACGTCTGCTGATTCTTTTGCTTTTTTGTTTAGTGTCTCTCACGGAGAAACGTATGCTCAAGAGGCCTGCTCAAAGCCCTACACCCTGAGCTCCACAGATGAGGCATCTTCCAGATTCTGCACAGATACGTCAAAAATCCCAAATGGGAGCGGTCTGACGTCTTGACTTCTTTTGGCTCATACGACGGAACAGATGTGCAGTCCTCTGATGAGGATTGCTTTTTCATTTGATCTAGCTCGAAAATTGGATGTTGTGGTTCAAGAAGGATGCCTAAAATCAAATCCCGGATAAGCCTACGCAGGGTTTTTGGGTAATTTCAATCCCATGGCCTTAGACAGACTTCTCCGCGACGAACGCTTCAAACCTTGGCTCCTAAATTCGAGGTCTTAGAGGAGGAGGTTAATCTGAAATTGATTTTTTTATTTTCCATCTCAGAATTAATAGAAATCCTCAAGTTTAGAAATAGGATCAGAAAATCCTCAAGTCTAAAACTAGCATTTACACAAATTTCATATTTTGAATGTATCAAGAACAAGAATGAAAGTCTTAAGATCCGAAGCACGGGCAAGCAAATGACCTCGCCAATAGAAGTTAATATGACAAGTACAGGAAAATTGATCTGCAGAACCTAATTGCTTATCTAAGAAATACTAGAGGGCACCTATCGACTCGATCGAATGCAAAGGGCGGGCAAGCGGGTAGGCGGATAGGCAGGCAGACTGGCAGGCAGACAAGCGGATAAGCGGACAGGTGGGCAAGCGGGCCGGTAGACGGGCAAGCCGGCGCAAAATCTCCCGACAGTTCGATCAATTTCTCTCTCTTCGGCTATCTGCGCGGCGGCTCGGTGTAGACCCTGGGCGGAGATCTAAAATCTTTCAGAATCTATTGGGTTGGCCGTTTTTGGTCACGTGCAGTTCTTACATGTTGATTGTTCGTCGAGATTGATGTGCGATCTTATATGTTCCGTGTGATTTATCTCTCTTTAGTTGTCGGCGCGGTGCTCGGAGGAGCGCGTAGACCCGGGACGGAGAACCAACATCTTTTAGACTTTACAGGTTGGCCGTGTCTGTTCGCGGAGATTTATGCGCTCCCCCGAGCCACCGCGCAGATAGCCCAAGAGAGATAAATGAGGTGGAAAGACCGGGCTGGATGCGGGGGCCGCGCGATCAAAGCGCCGCGTGACCAAAAATCTCTTAAGATTTCGAGTTGTTTCTCTCTCTTTGGCTGTCTGCGCGGTGGCCCGGTGGAACGTGAAGACCCGGGGCAGAGATCTAAAAAATCTTTCTGAATCTATATGTTACGTGTGGTCTTAAAAATCTTGATAGTTCATCGGGCTTCACGTGCGAACTTACACACTGATTGGCCATTGGATATTCCATTACGGGCTTTCTCAAATAAATATTTTCTATGATATAGGCGACGGGCCTACTCTCAATTATTATCTCTTTGAAATGAAAGAAATTTCTATGATATAGGCGGAGGGCCTATTCTCAATTACTATTATTATCTCTTTGAAATGAAAGAATTTTGAGGGTCATCAATAATTCAATATATAGAATAAATAGAATGTCATTTCATTATCTTATATATTCATCTATATAAATGAATTACAAATGAATAAATTAACTAATTCGAAAGATTTTTATATTCTATTATTCAATATGATTTATATTCTTATCTGATTTTCAATATTTGATATTATTTAGATAAAAAAAATCGATTTATAATGAAATTATATGAAATATGAAGATATTATTGAATATAAGGATTCTGATATAGAAAAATATCTAGAGGGGATGCATATTTATTTGTATTTTCAATAATTCTTGATGTATTTTCGCGTTCATAGAAAAAATATTATTTTCGAGATTCTTTTCGAATTTTTTCTCATATTCTATCAAATTCTATCTATGAATTCTAAATTTAAGATTTTTGAATGAAAATAGAGAGGCAGGATTAATATGGGATAGTATTCGCAGAGAAGATTGATTATCAATATTCCTGGTAAGAGCGAGTAGTGTTCAATAAGAGTGAGTATTGGTTGAGGCACGAGTAGGAGTGGGAGAGGAGTAGTAGGAGTAGGAGACGAGTAGTAGGCTATGGGATGGATGGCAATGGAGGGGCTACGATATTTCTTCTTGAGAAATAGAGGAGCTGGGAAATTTCTTATCAAGAAATAGAATAGCTGAGGATTTCTTATTAAGAAATAGAGTAGCTGTGGCATTTCTTATTAAGAAACAGAGCAGCTGTGGTATTTCTTATTAAGAAATAGAGCATTTCTTATTAAGAAATAGAGGAGCTATGGTATTTCTTATTAAGAAAAGGAGTTGTGAAATTTCTTATCAAGAAATAGAATAGGTGCGGTATTTCTTATTAAGAAACAGAATAGTTGTGATAGTTCTTATTAAGAAATAGAGCAGCTGTGGAATTTGTTATTAAGAAATAGAGCAGTTGCGGTATCTCTTAATTAGGAATAAAGGAGCCTAGATGCGGGGGAATTAGCTTTTCGGTATTTTTAGAAAAGCTCAAAAAGGAGATTCCCCCGCGCTGGGCTCCAGGGCTCCGGGCATCAGCTTTTCGCCATTTTCAGAAAAGCTCAAAAAAGGTGATTCTCTCGCACCGGGCTCGGGTCTAGATACGGGGGAATTAACTTTTCGGCATTTTCAGCCTTAAAAAGCTCAAAAAGACGATTGCCTCGCACTGGGCTCCAGGGTCCAGGGAGGAGCCTAGATGCGGGGAATCAGCTTTTCGGTATTTTCAGCCCTGAAAAGCTCAAAAAGGTGATTCCCCCGCATCGGCTCCAGGGGTCTAGGAAGGAGCCCAGATGCGGGGGAATCAGCTTTTCGGTATTTTCAGCCCTGAAAAGCTCAAAA